TGATTGGGTTTTTCTCAATTCAGAATTTCTTTCCACGCCCTGTATGATAAATGTCAGTTTGTCATACATCTAAAACAGAGAAGATAAAATTTAAATTTGCTCCCGTTTTTAGTAATAACAAAGTGTACTGAAAATGCAGTTTGATCCTTGATGAATTTCTAGTTATTTTGTTTCACACTTTTTGTCCCATCTCAAAAAATAAAGTGGTGGGGAACTTCAAATTATGATTTCTCTAAACGTCTGTAACTCTGGTTATCTTCAACAGAATTCAACAATCTTGGGATCGTTGTAAAGGCTTCTTTTTGTTCTATCAATTGTGATTTGGATGGATGTCATATTCATATCACCGTTGCCGCTAGAGGGCGTGATCGAGAATATCGATGAATATCGTGATTTGAAAATGAAATAAAATAGAAGTAATGGTATGCATATTATTACACGATGCAATAGAAAAATTAAATATCAACGACCAACGAAAAATGCAACATGATAGCTTTTCGCTAACGAAAGATATTGACGATCGAACTTGAAAGAAAGATTGATGACAGCCGTTCTTAGTTGCCTTACCTACTTGCTATAATTGTTATATCTTGATTGCTATTATTTCTCACATTTGCAATAAGTTTTTCGTGATGTAGTTCACTAAGCTGGATGAATCCTGCTAAATGCGTGCACAGCGTTATTACCTCGGTTATTTCTAAACTCTTATTTGACGTTTTCCGTCACATACACATTGAGAACACCTAACTTGACAAGCCAATCAGAGTCAAGAGTCAAGTTTGGTGTTATCGATAAGCCGAACTTGAGTTGAGTTCCTGATTGGTTCATTTGGTAATGACGTTAAAAATGTTAAATAATCTCGAATATTCAGATCATCGTGATATAACTGTTGATAATTTCGTTTTATATTCGAATGCGATTTTTTTGTATATGGAAAATATGCTTCCAATTTGATGGAATATTTTTGGGATTTCGGAATATCACCGAAATTATTGGTTTTCGGTAAAGGGAAGTTGATTAAAACTATGGCTGATATTCATAATAGAATTGAATCATGGAAAGAAGAATGTGGGCTTCATTTTTTTTATCTCTTGGGATGCCCGAAAACTTGATATTTTCAATGTTTCACAATCACATTCCGTACTCACTTTTCTATGCACACTGTGAATTATTCAGTGGATGTGATTATGGTGAGTGACCCATTCAACTTTCAATATTGTAATCCACATGAAAATAGCGAGATAGCGTATGTTCGATAAATTACATTTGTCAATCGACCCACGCAATTAGATGACGAATGGTCACGTCACGGTGACGTACCCAATTGGTGATTTTTCGTCAGAGACCTCGCACACCAATTCCTAACGTCACAATGGCGTAATTTCTATGACGTGATGAACACGTCATCATTACTACGTTGAGTAAAGGTCATTTGGATGGGTAAAATAAGACGTCAGTTACATGACGTTGCAGGTACGTCAAGTGAACGTCATGTTTTCATATAATTCGGTTTATGTGTGTGTAAAATATACAGGGTGTCCAAACTCGATGGCCTCTATTGAACGGTTCTGCAGAATGCGGCGTTGCCGCTTCTATAGAAATGTACCAATCACTGTGTTATTTCGAATTGATCACCCTGTATTTCATTATATTTTTGAAATCTCCCTGAGGAGCGGATTTTACCGATCTATAACACTTGGGGTTTAGCAGGAATGATTATAGATATAGGGTGTGAAAAATCGAGATTTTTCAAATTTTGTAATGTCATGTATCAAAACTATTCATTATTGGCAAAAACAGTTCGATATCCCTATCATAACTTTCCGTTTCAACCAATAATGAATAGTTTCGACACAAAAAATTCCTGAACATAAGAAATCTCGATTTTTCACATCCTATATCTCTGTAATCATTCCCGCTAGACCCCAAATGGACCGATGAAATCAGCCCTTCAGAAAACATTTGAAAACGCAATAATATACAGAGTGATACATTCAAAATTACAAAGTTGTTGCTAATTTTTTATAGATGCGGCAAGATTTTGATAACTTCTTACTATGTACCGTTTTCGAAATATTTTGATATTCATTGTATCTACATCAACTTTCTATAGAGTAGTCTTTTTGATAAAATGTATAGTTCCAAGTCGAAGGAAAAAAACTGAAGCAAATGCGAAAATTTATCTGTTATTTGCGAATGTCCAAGGAAATTTTGTTTGTAAATTTCAGGTTCGGATTCAGCAACCAAAAAACACATAACGTATGGTCCGAAAATTTTCGGAAAAAAATCAGATGCTGAAAACTCTTAGAAATGAATTTTTATAATCTCAACAAATAATCTTACAATATCTCTTAACTATTCTTATCACTAACTAAAGTTCAAATAATCGACAAAGGACCGTTGTCTTCCCTCTGACGCGTTGCATCATCCTTTGGACGACCCCAGCGTTGATTTCTCTGATTTTCCCGATAAACGACGTCGGAGTTATTCTTGATTTTGTGCTTCCCATCCGTTATTGTAGACTTTCCGGCTCAATATTGCCCAGAAGTCTTCAATTGAGCGTGCCTGAGGTAGGTTGGGGGGATTGTCCACTTTCGGTACAAAGTTGATGTTGTTGGCCCCATACCAATCCCTTGTGATTCTCGCATAATGGCATGAAGCAAGATCTGGCCAAACTGAAGCAATTTAGAAAGACAACTGAAAATATATCGCTCTGCATTTGAGGCCTCACCACGAACAACGCCAATGTAGGGCTGTGAAATGAAACCAGCCTCAGAAATGGCACACCCTGCCAAAATGTTGTCCTCAAACTTCTTTTTGCTCTTGATTCTCACATCGTCAGGAACATTTGCGTGATCGTTCGTGTAGAAACCATCATTGCCCTTCATCTCAGAGTTGGCCAAAGTGAAATATTTTTCGCGTCCATCACGATCAACTTGTTGGCAAAATGCACTCGCCTCAACGCGAGGCAACATCTTGGAATTCTTTCTAACTGAGCCTCTGTGTATTTTGGAGCTTTTCTCCTTTTCCGGAACAAAACATTGTGTCTTGATAGGGTCTTAAACACCGTAGTCTTTCCAACATGAAATCTTCTGGCCAGTTTTCGCTGTGAGATCCCAATTAGGTGTTTAGCTGCTTGAATAAGTCTCCGCTCTCTTGATTGGTTCAAAACCCGCGGCCGTCCGTTTTTTGGCAAGTTCATACATGGTATCCCTTCTTCACAATCTTTAATTGTACGATATATTGTCGATTTACTTATGTTCTGATCTTGAAAAATATCGACAATCTCTCGTTCCGTCATTCGCCCAACAAGATTATAAATACCTCGACGAAGATCAATTTTATGAGACATTTTGGTAAGCGCAAACCAACAACTTTTGCATTGCTTATTTAGATGACGGGTGACATTTAATTACCACGCCTGCTTGATTAAATGCATTTTGTCACTCAATCAAACCAGGTGAATTTTTTTCCCAAATCTTTCGGACAATACGTTATGTAATAGCAGAAAAACCGATGACTTGAATATTGTCCACGTGTAATTTGGACTAATAGATGGACTGATAGATATTTGTCTGATCACGGCGAAGTATCATTATTTTTTGAAGAATGGGTTAATTCGTGGTTTGACACTCTCTTACGGATAACCCAGTAACACTTCTGAGATGGGTCATGAAAAGGCCTTATTAAGGCATTCGACTTTTCCATATTTTTTTATTCTCGGTGAAAACTAACGTGAATTTTCGTGTGTAATACAACAAGTTTAGGGTAGGTATTATTGATCATCGATTTTGAGAAAGTAATCATGTTTGAAACCACACGAGCGCATAGCGCGAGAATGGTTTCCTATATAACATAATTTGTTTGGAAAAAGAGAAGGGATTTTCGATGATAATCATCAATGAAACAAGTGGTATTTGCAATTGTTGCGTTATGCAACTAACGATACATCGAAGAATTTAGATTGCCATATTGGCGTGTCATCAACGACTCGTCGTAGGAATTGAGTTTAAGTTTATTCAAATCGTTTCTCTGAAATACTGATCATACAAAGTTGGTCCAAAATTCTTTGATACAAATTAATACTGAATGTTTGTCACGCTCTTGGCTGAAGTTTAGTGTTGAGTGCCCCGAATATGAAAATATCATATTCATGATAGCCTGCTGCTGATGGTAAGTAATTTTGTTTTGTTTGATTAAACTACCATTGATTAAGTAGAATACAAAAACGAAAACACATCATTTAGTTACCCAGTAACATAATGTTTTCGATTATCACAACAGATATTCCAACCAATCAAAAACGTGAATAATTACAAAGAGTGTCAGTTTGACAGTTGAAATAATCTGACCGCGAAGCAGGAGGATTATTCTGTTAAACAACTGACACGATTTGTAATTATGCAGGAAGTTTGAGATGAATAACCATGAATAGTACAAAGTTCGAATTGTATTCGATGCGATTATTTTTTGGGTAAATCTGAACGAACGTCAATATTTTACGACGCGCTTTGTTTGTATGTAACAATATGAATTATTGGTTACTATGGAAATACTCTATTTAGATCCATGTATATTCGAAACATACAAGGTAGCTTAACTCAATAGAAAATAATAATTGGAATAATACTGATATTATCATTTGTTTATACAGACACGGAGAGGGAATCCCAAAAAGCTAAGAAAATACAATGTATAAAGATTGTGATTGTCAGTTCAGAACTTTGGATTAAATAATTTATAGAACAAGTTTGTAATGCGTTTGTAACGTGACACTATTTATTGAATCACACGGAAAACATTACAATGAGGAAGAATTAATGATTACTGAAGTTTTAAAAAATATGAAAACTTATCAAACTTTCTATAACCCTGGAAACTAGTAATGACATGAACATGAATTATATGCAGGGAATAATTATAATGAGTGATCAATGCCAAGAATTTATTATGTTTATTTTTATCCACAGTTTCTTCGAAAAATCTTCAAGAAATAGTACCTTTATTTTTGGATGTAGGTACTATCAGCCTCAGAAATATCAAATTGTAGATTTGAGCAGTCGATCAGCAACCTGAAAAAAAATAGAGATATTGATTTGATTTGATATAGTACTTAGTTGATGTAACCAAATTGTCACATCTCAGAGTGCGAAGTTTAAATATATGGCAAATTCAGGAAAAATATGATAGAAACATTTGTTACGCAGTGTCATTTTGGGACAAATCATCTGATTTGTCCCACTACAAATACAGGGTGTTTCAGTTTTTTGTAGCAGGACTTTAACAGCTTGAAGAAGACATTTTTTCAAGATGAAAATCTTCTACAAACATATATGCGTGGAAGCTTCGTTTCCTATTTACAGGGTGTCAAAGTTTCTATTTTTTTTTGTGTTTTTTGAATTTCCTCCTACAATTTTTGGAATGATTGATTGAAATTTGGTATACCTAATCCAATTCCAAAAACATAAAAAAATCTGAAACTTTGACACCTTGTAAATCAGAAACGAAGCTCCCACGCGTATATGTTTGTTCGAGATTTTCATCTTGAAAAAATGTCTTCTTCAAGCTGTTAAAGTCCTGCTACAAAAAACTGAAACACCCTGCATATTGAAATAATAAGAATATTTTCATTCTATAGCAACGAGGAGAAAAAATCCCAAAAAATCAAGTAAAATAAAAATAAAAAATCTTGAAATTTTCAGCAACACTCTGAAAAGAGTGAATGAATTGTTATTCATTATGAAAAAGGAATATTATATTGCTCACTAAAATAATGTTCTCGATATATACAAGTCGAAAGCAAACTGGCAAATTATCAGTTTTGAAAGAATCAAGACTAAATGTATTCCCCTCATTAATAAAAACATCACCTCAAACGTCAATGATCATTTTGTTCAAGTGGCCGAATCTTCCATAAAATCTCTACCTGGGATACATGAAAATGAATTACTAAATTTCTCAAAGATTCTTCCAGCACCTTCCTCTTCTTTTTTTCTACTCCCAGTAACTCAACATGAAGTTATGGATACCATTAAATCATTAAAAAACTCTTCATGTGTTGATGTTCATGACCTAAATAGTAAAATTATCAAAGAAACATTAGATATAATTTTGAAACCTTTAACCGAATTGATCAATCTAATCTTCAGTACAGGAACTTTTCCAGATATTTTCAAATTCTCGAAAGTCATTCCCCTATTCGAAAAAGGAGATGTATCACCCATTGAAAATTATCGCCCGATATCCATCATTTGTATATTTTCCAAAATTGTCGAGAAATTTTTGAAACACAAAATATTTTGAAATAAACATTTAGATAGGAGGTAGGTATTGGAATCTTTTTTGAACTTCTGGAGATTATATGTTGTTGGGAATACTTCCTCAGGCAATGAATTCCAGAGCCTAGCCGTTCTATGGATGGAGGAGTTTTGATAAAGTGCTGTTCGACATCTTTCGAGGTTGACAACGAAAGGATGTGCTGACTGGGCTTGTCTAGTTCGTCTGACTGGTATTGCTGCCCTTATTGCATCTTATCTAAAAAATAGATTTCAGACTTTTCATTTCAATAATGATATATCCGATTTTGAAGAGATGAATCATGGTGTGCCTCAAGCGAGGCCTCAAGGCTCTGTCTTGGGGCCACTTATATTCATTATTTATGTCAATGAGCTAAGCAGTTTCATGGCCCCCTTTGAATGTGTCCTGTATGCTGACGACACGTCATTTATATAGGATTCGAGTCCAGACTACCATAGTTTATTAGATCGGTCTAAATAAATTGAAGAAAAAGTTGAAACAATCTAAAATTGAATAATGACAAATCTCAGAGGCTTTTCCTCAGCACTCGTCAGCATGGTGAAGAGAAACAGGGGGTGAAATTAATCGGAGTCATTTGAAGCATAAATTGTCAAGTGCATTGTTTCTTTTACGCCAGCTCAGACATGTTTCAAATTTTGAGACTTGCACAGTGTATTACTCACTTTTCCAGTCTGATATGGGCTACTGTGTATTAAAAAAAAGCCATAAGAATATTGGGTAATGTATAGGATATAGAGATACCTGAAGACCTTTATTCACTGAATTTGAAATTATGACTCTTCCGTCCTTATATAATTACAATTTACTTCTTGAAATCCATTAAATATCGTCTAATCTCACTACACAGGCTGATATTCACCATCATAACACTTGAAACTCTGATATCTGAATCCTTAGATATAGGTTCTTTGTTTCACAAAAAAATTCGTTAGATTTCAATCTTCCACATCAAGTTGACATATTGAAAATGCATGAGTTCAAACGAACAATTGAATCGTATCTGTCAAATAATAGTATATTATGTAATCAGTGCTATAAAAGTCATTTTAGTAATGGGTACTTTGAGCAGGGCGGAGCGAGTTTTTAAGAAACGACTGTCTAGAAGAGTTTATAAACGCGTTACATAATATACTTTTTCAACGAACTCATATAATTCCTCACCTCGAGAAGATCCCATAATCTGAGAATTAGATGATGCTATCTGCTGCTAATTTACAAAATAATTCGAAGGGAATGGGAATTGAGAACATAATACATAATATTATGCAACTGCATGCAACCAACGACACATGTTTATGTCATATTGGTTTTAGATGTGCGTCAAGTTCATAGGATAGATGAATTTCTATTGAAATGGCTTGTTTACTGTCCTTCGTGAATAAGATTTCATATAAGGTAGTAGATAAAAACTCTTCGATTCGCTGAGGTGTCAAAGTTTTCGATTCCTCAGGTTTGTATCCATATTCTAATTGCATAATTTTGTTCACATGAAATTGTGCTTACGTTTATTGTCATGCTTGACATAGAATGAATTGCCCATCAAGATGAGAGCTTCATTTTCACCTAGACTTCTTGGAAATACCTACTTAAGACATTCTCTTCGATTTCACTTTCGTCTACAGGACTCAAACGACTGAAAGTGTGTTTGAGAAACTCTGTTGCCATGGTAATGTGTTTAAAAAAGTGTTGCCATGATAATGTGTTTAATATTTTGAATAAATTAAAGATCGTCAATCCGTGATAAATCAATCATTTAGCGTGGTACATATCCGTACGCTAAATGCCATTTCAGTTATGTGAGTAGAAAAAAGTTCTTATTCTATCGATGAATACGTTGAAAATATTTCAGGCGCGACCTTTTCCCTCTGAGAACATACCTTTGTATATTTGTTCTTCTGTAATGGTGATGTTTTATTAATTTCAAAATGTCATTTTATTATTTCCAAAATTTTATTCTGAGACACGAATGACCGGCTATGAATATGCATAAGTAGTTATACAACAGCGATTGCAGCCCACGGGAGTAGGGTGGTCCCAGCAAGTGACGGCGAGATGTAGTCTAGAGCGTCACAAAAATCGGTCACACGGTGAATTAAAAAAAAAAAGGGAATTGAACCGCAGGCCACCGGGTTACCAGCCTGACGCTGAAGACATTGAGCCATCAGCCGAACTGATAACGTGACTGTAAAAGGTGCGCGTTTTATGTGAAAACAGCATAAATGATCGGTTTATGTGGAAACAACATTTTTTGGCAATATCACAGGAGTGTGTTGCGCAATGAACTCAATATAAACAACTGGAAGGGAGACGGCCGTTCTCTCGAATAGCAGAAAGTGTGTCAGGGGCAGCTGCAACAAATATAGCATGATTTACGGTAACCTGTCTCTTTCCTACTCGTGTTGTTCAATGGTGGATTGGTGTTCACGTTTTCTTTTATCTAATAATTGAAGTACTTTAGATTTTTTCTCTCATCTAAACAGGCAAGAAAGTGAAGACATAAGTTCATTGTCTTTGTTTATGTGAAATATATATTCATTTATTTACTTATTTGTTGCAGTTTTCCATTCAGGCATTCTTGAATTATGGATTACGGCAGTGCGTAGAGAGAGTTGGAGAGCATTTCCTGCCAACTGATTATTCATTTAGACATACCAGGTACTGCTAGGTTATTGAAACCAGATGCTGTACCCAGTATATTTCCATTTCCTAAGCATTTGTTACCAAAAAATACTGATCCTTGAAGGAAAATAAGAACTCATAGGTACCTAGTTGATTAATAATGAAAAAAAAAAGTATGTGGAAGTTCATAACATTGGGTCCTAAGGAAGATGTTTCTCATATTATGGACTTTACCTATGACTTCCAGCTCCCAAGTTTCGAAGTTCATCAATAAAGAAACCCAAACTGTGTCATTGAAGAAGGATATGAATATTGCATTGAGAATTGAATTTTTTAAATTTCTAATAGGGATATGTTTGTAGGCAGTGAAACTGATGGAAAAATAGGAACCTATGGAAATTATGCTCAAAATAGACCTTAGGTAGTCAATACCATTCAAGAACCTCTTTTCAAATTTTTCCTATCGTTTTTCTTTTTCTTCTGATAGTGCTAAGACATTGTGCTTCGCTCACCCTGTACAATATATTGTGACATTTGAATGAAAATATATAATTTCAATTTTGTATTCATTTGACTTCCTAATCCTGTAAGAATAAAAATGAAATTTAATTTTAAAGTGAATAAAAAAATCAATAATAATTTTTCACTGATAATTGATTGCAACATTTTCCTTTAACCTGCATGAATAGTTTAATGTAATCACGTTTACTCTTAAAGAAAAGCAAAAAACGAGAAAATATTTCAAATAATGCGAGCGCTTCCCATTAGCGAACATAAGATAGAGAGAGAGATAGGTATCCGTAAACACTGCGGGTTGCCTGAACAATATTTTTGCCACACTCGTCGTTCACAGGGGGTCTCTTCCAGTTGTTTATATTGAGTTCGTTGGTGTTAAGTGGTTGCGGGGAGGGCATATGGTCGTGTTAGGTAGAGGGACGAAGGGGTATTTTAACATTTCGATAAATCACCGAAGGCATATAACAAAAAAAAACATGGAATAGTATATTACATAACTAGTGTGGAAAGTGACATATTTTGCGCGAGTGGACAGCGGCGAGTGCGGAAACGAAACGAGCGCAGGAAATGCACTTTCCAACGTGTTTTGTACACTATTTCTCCCACGACCACACTTATT